TCAGATCTGATTTTGTTTTCTTATATTACCTTCATTCCACCATTCACTAAAAATTTAAAAGAAATTCATTAGAAAATTTATAATTTATTTATTCAATACTTACTTCCAACTTGTCCTGTTGGTGGTATTAATGGAGGTATCATCATCATTGATGGTGGCATCATTGTATTTGGTGGATATTGTCCACCTGGCCAACCTGGTGGTGCATGCTGCATTTTGTTTTTCGTAATAAATTAAAAATCTAAAATAGAAAACGATCTTCCATTAGTTGAAGTTTATTTTTTATATCTTCAAAATCTATCCATTCAATGAATTCAATATTTTCCTCTTTTAAATAATGACATAAAGCATCACGTGCAAAAACTAAATTTGCACATTTTGATGCATTTAAATCAGTTAGAGAATCTCCAATAACAATTATTTTTTCATTATTTTGACATTCTTGTTTAATTATATTGACTTTTGCTACTAATTCATTTCCTGTTTCCCATTCTGATATAACTTTTAATTTTTCTTGATTTGCATCAATATCAATACCATAAATTTTTGAACATCGTTCGAATAAATTTTCACGTTTAAGAACAGCTTCAACTAAACATCGAATACCACCAGAAACAACAATAAATGGAATATGTCGACTATCAAGATAATCAATTAATGATGAAAGACCTGGACGTATTGGTTTATCTTTAACAAAATCAAGTAATTCATCAGGATAAACAGATGATGATATTGATTCAACAATTTGTCTTACACCTTGACGTAATGTTACTTCTTTAGAAAGAATTTTTGGTAATAATTCATTTGATAATATTGGAGAAAAATGTTTTAATACACCAACAAATGTTTCACATGAAGTTATTGTACCGTCAAAATCACAAAAAACAATAGCAGAAGATTTTTTTGTTGGCATTTTTTCTCATAATAAATAACTTACGCCACTTTGAGACAGGCCGAATTGGATCATTCATTCATTCATTCATTCAGTTAGTTAGAGAATAATGCTGATTCTATTGGTTAATGTGTTTGCCAATGGATATCATAATATTTGTGAAGAGGACCACAAAAAAATATATTTTAAAGATGGCCGTCTAAGTAAGAAATTTATACATATAAAAACTAAAAATTAGTACATGGTCAGAACAAAGAAAGTAAAGAGAAAATAGCGAAATAATATCAACAAATGCGATTGTATATGCGTCATCTGCAGTTTCAGCAGGGACCCGAGATCATTTGAACGGCAGTGGACATAAAAAATTATTCTCTTTCGAACTACACAGAAGATTTTGATCCCAAAAAAAAAAGTGTCCCGCATATATAGATGGCGCGATTTATCGTCATCGTTCAGGTATATCCTTAAAGTCATTGTGTCTTGTCAAAACAAGAGAGAACGCAAAAGATTCTATTGGCTCAAATAAGCTATTATTGCGTCCGTAACGTGGGAAAGGTTAGCACCATATTCGACTTTTCTTGTTCTGATTCGCTATATTGGTTGGGTTATTTCTAAAACCACTTGAGTTAGGTGCAGAATTTAATTCTGCATCGAATGGTACCAGTTTCGAGGGGGCTTCTCGGACAAAAAAAGGCCCTTTGATCCCAAACACTGATTTTTCGACCTAATTTGCAAGGTATTCGCTGTCCGAATTCACTATATTGTAGTCCGTTTAAAAAGTCCGTGCGTATGACTGTTTTTTGAATAACTCGAGAAAGCAAACAGCTAGAGACTTGCGGTTTTCACTAACCGAAAGAGGAGGAGTTAGAACGTCTTTTTCTCTGATAATGTGTCAGACGAAATGCTTTTAAAACTGATCATCTTTGAAAAAAATATAGAAAAGAAAGCATGAAAGTGATATGCAATACACATGAAGTTTCGATTATGACCTTTGATTTAGATAGAGGGACCAGAGATGTGCACGGGGCATTACGGGGCGTGACGTAACGCCCCGTGCGATAGGGGTGAAAATGGGTACGTAATATGTGAATAGCTAATTCAAATATTACGTATCCATTTTCACCCCTATTGCACGGGGCGTACGGGGCGTTACGTCACGCCCCGTGCACATCTCTGAGAGGGACTTCAGATCTATAGCTCAAGATGAAACGCAAATAGCTCTCTAATTGCGTTCTAATGTTGACTAAATGAGATTATGTATTTACATGCGCAAATAATAAGGAATTTTGCTGATGTTTTACTACGTTTTTGCATTTTTTGTCAAAACAGCTGGATACTTCGATGAAAATGTAATGAAACGTAAGAAAGTGTATTATATTTTGAACTATAGATCTGAAGTCCCTCTATCTAAATCAAAGATCATAATCGAAACTTCATGTATATTGTATGTCACTTTCATGCATTCTTTTCTATATTTTTCAAAGATGATCAGTTTTAAAAGAATTTCGTCTGACACATTATCAGAGAAAAAGACGTTCTAACTCTTCCTCTTTCGATTGGTGAAAACAGCAGGTCTGTAGCTGTTTGTTTTCTTGAGTTATTCAAAAAACAGTCACACGCACAGAATTTTTGGATGGACTATAGTAAGGTATTTAACCCTGATACCACTAACCTGTGTCATTTTTTACCCTGTTCTTGCAATATGACAAATAAAATGAAAACTTTTTATTTATTTGCATTCTTAATGAGATAATAGATACTTTTTCTATAATCGCAATGATCATTTGAAAGGAAAAATGGAAATTGAAATAGAAATATTAATTATAAACGCTACTTTTTTCATGAGCAATAAGAAACAGCTGTTATCTCTCATTTTCCGGATTTTTAAAAAACTCCAAAATTTTATACCAAGTTATTCAAAACGCATTTTCTATTGTTAGTTATCCTTTTAGAAAAAAGAATGGCTTCAATTAAGTGAATATTTAACACAATCAAAACGAAAACTAGACTAATTTATAATGCCTCTAGTAACAGAAAAATTTAAGTGATTGTTATAAATGTGCGGAATTTCTCTGTAATGAAAATGAGATTGACAGTACCAGAGTTAATAATAATTATCCTTCAAATCCATTTTAAATTATAGAAGTGTCACTCATTATGATTTAGAATTCAATTTTAAACGAGAGTATTACGAAAAAGCTTACTAACTGAATTATCTATCTTATTCAAGAGTAATGAACAATCTAGACGAGGGTGCTATTTTTCAGATGTACTGTTGAGAGTCTCATTTATTATCCGACACCAGATATATTTTAATAAGTATATCATAAATTAATTGATTAACTACTTCGAGAGATCGCCCAACTAGTATAGCAAATCTGTATCACCAAAACTAGCCACAATACCAGTATTATTAGTATCACAAGCACTTTTCTCATTCTCAATCCCTTCGAAACTCATACCATTCGATTTAGAATTAAATTCTGCACCTAACCCGAGTGGTTTTAGAAATAATCCAATAATATAGCGAATCTGGACAGGGAATACCTTCGAAACTAGGTCGTAAAATCAGTGTTTGAGATCAAAGGGCCATTTTTGTCCAACAATCCCCTCGAAACTAGTACCATTCAATTCAGAATTAAATGCTGCACCTAACCCGAGTGACTTTAGAAATAACCCAACTAATATAGCGAAGTCGGACAACGAATGCCTTGCAAATTAGGTCAAAAAATCAGTATTCGGGATCAAAGGGCCATTTTTTTCCCGAGAAGCTTCCTCGAAACTGGTACCATTCGATTCAGAATGAAAAACTGCACCTAACCCAAGTGGTTTAAGAAATAACCCGACCAATATAGCGTATGCGGCCAAGAAACGTCGAATATGATGCTAACTTTTCCGACGTTTCATCTGTAGCATTTTGTTCACTGACACTATTTTCAATTTCATCTTCTTCAAGATCTACTTCATTAAGAATCTAAATAAATAAAAATGCATTGCCTTTCTGTTAATTCTGAAATTCCGGTAATTCTACATATGCATCGAATTCTCAAAGCAAAAATCATATACTGTTTTTATGCCTTAATAAATAATGTCCCAGAGATAAGTTAATTTTTTTACATTTACAAGGACTAAGCATTTTCTAATCATACCTGATCTAATGCCGTTGAATAGCGACATTCACCTTGTGCATTAACTTGAACATTTCTCACAATAAAATTATCTTTTTTTGGATCCTTGTTAATGTTATCAGCTGCACAGCATAAACACGAAATAGATACCAAAAATGACGCATTTTGTTTTGGACTAAGAAGAACCACACATATATATTCCCAAATACCATTCATTTCTTCCATTGTATCCGAATTTACTAATAATGATATGAGCTATAGAACAAACACCACCTAAAAGCATTTAAAATGAATGTTACATATAAATAAAATCGATGCTTATTTTCTTCTTTGTGTAATATTTAAGTGCTTAACGCTTGACGCTTTTACTAAAGTGTGCCAAACATGAATGAACTATGGTTTTTCCTAGATCTTCATTTATAGCCGATTTGTTGACAATAGACCAACAACGTTTTAAATAAATGCTGAGTGAAGTATCATCATTAAAAAATCGCATAGCAGCCATATGAAATACTAATGCTACGCCGGAATGAATAATCGGTAGTTTTGGAAACGAAGCTTTAAATCCGAATAACTTTCTACATGCTGCTTCAAATTCTTGTAACCATTGAACAAGGTCCATAGTTGTATGCGTAGTCGATAACATTGAAGTGACAGGAAAAGAAGGTCCTGATGAACTTTTTGTGGTGACTGTTCTAATGGCAATATTATCAATTGTTAATTCATAGTAAAACAGCCGTTTTTCTTTACTCATTACAATGCCTCCTGTTGCATCTCATGAGACAGGTACATTATTTTCTACTTTATTCCATAAAGTCAAATCTCCTTCAGTGAAAAGAATAAGACGAAGAGGACTGATTGTAATTGTTTGTAAATATTCCAGTACTAGTTTTCCTGCGTTTATTTCTTTAGCTTGTTCTTCTTTAATCTTTTGTAAACTTGCTGTTAAGTCCTTGTCAAGCATTAATGATGTTTTTGCCTCACTACGAATCGTTCGAAATACGGAAGGACTAGAATCTGCTAAATTGTAATTACCAAAGGTACAGTTGTTTTCTGTCAATTGACCTAGTTCTATTAATCTTAATTGATCGGGGGTAAATCCATTTGTCAATTTTTCTGCAATTAATTTGTGACGATTACCACGAAATGGACAAGCTTATTGTTTTGATGGACTGTGCACTATCTTACTTTGGAACTCCATTACTAACTCACCATTATTGAATACACCTCCGCGATATGAGCACGTGCAATCCCTGAAGCTACATTTAGCTTTAGTACTTATCAAGAATTGTTTGTCGGTTGATGTTTTCGTTGATTGGGGACATGAACAATGATGACCTTTATACATAAATACACAAGTTTCATTTACTTTCGCCACATATTTTTCGAATCAATTGACCCATTCTGTATTGCGTTTACGTCTAGGTGGTGTTTCTGAAGAATTAACCGTTGCTTCTAATTTAGAATCAACAAGTAAATAATAAAAATAATCAAGATCAGATGGATCAATTTGTAATGATACTAGTTGAGAAGGAACAGCAGCTCTATATTTTCCATCAACGGTTGGTCGATCAAGTAAAATATCGATCAGATGACGATGCTGAACTGGTAATGATGTTACACCTGGTTCTGCGATATTATGCACGCATGATTTATTACGTTTATTGTTGTCATGCTTTTATTGTTTTTTTTTAGTTTGCACCTTAATAAGAATGCTTTTATTAATTCTAATTTATATATGTAGAAAAAGCTTACATTTGGAACTACTTCATCATCAAATTCGACGAGATCATTTTGAGTATGCGTTGCTATCTAAAGATACAAAATAAGATTGTTAAATAAATGCATAACAAAATTTCATTATTTTTATCTTTCTTTTAGTACATATTAATGCATCTAATATGAAAGTGACTTTTTTAAAAATGTTATTTAAAATTTCGCTGAGATATTAAAATCTGTTTAATTGATGTTATATTCTCTATTACTCAACTAATTGTAAAGTACTCTAAACCAGTTTGCTCCTATCACTATTGCAAGAACAGCTGTCAACGAAGACTATCGAGAATAGTGTAATTTATTACTGAAAATAATCATAACATTACTTCCGTATATTCCCCATGTAAATTGTTTTTCGAGAAAAACGCAATAAAGGCGTCCCCAGTGAAACAATTCTTGCGTCTAGACGCGTTTTTTTCGAACCGCGTTTAGACGCGATTTTCTCCAACCGCGTCTACACGCAGGAAATGTTTCACTGGAGACACGGTTCCAAACCAAATTGCGGTTAGACGCGGTGTAATTTCGAATCGCGCCTAACCGCGTACGATTTGATATTTAAAATTTTAAAAAAATATTACAATTCGTCTCAGGTTTGATCTGAGTCGCCATCGATATCCTCTAGCGATGGTCTTTACCTCACTATAGGCGAACGGAATGTCGAAATGTTAATTTATCTAAAACGATAGAAATGAGATTAGAACAAGTGAACCAGCGATTTAGAAGCAAGTATACGTACCATGAAGCCACATGTGATCACAATCACTGTCGAATGAAACAGAAAGTATATATGAATCGTGACTTCAGATCTATAGGTACATAATGCATTTATCAGTGGAACGTTTTCTGCCAAAATTATATCTCATTTGTTAGTATTCATATTCTTGTATGAAAATAAACTTGCATAAAATAAATTGCATATATTAAAATTTCTTTAAAATTTTTGAAAAATTTTCCTGTCACACGTGATTTTCATTTATTTTGTTGTAAAAGACTATTAATTATAATATTAAGTGCTGCCTATCTTTTAGAACTGATTATATAGTTATTTTATTTTATCAAATATCATTCACTTTTTTCGTTTTTCTTTTTTATTATATAAAAGAGCATTTAGCAAAGCTTTTCTTCAAATCACGTTAATATAAAAAGATAATTTTTAATTTCTAAAGTGTCTTCTTGTTTGAGTTTTCAGCTAATATATACACGCTAGTAGAGCACTAAGTGTATAGTTTGCAATTTTTTTTCTTATGTGCACGCGATAGGTAATGTAGAGACGATGTTATATGTCTAGAAAATGTAGAAAAGTGATTTGTCTATTAGATTTTCTATTTGAGTTTGAATATTTTCTTGTGTATCTTCCTTCCGTAATAATATAAAATGAAAACAACACACATGATCCAAAATGAACTGAACACTACGCCACTTACAACATTTAAAAACTAGAAGTACAATTATTTTATGACAAAGTATATTTTATCCTTCAAACAAAGTTCAAATTGAGTACATAATTTATAATTTAAATTTCAAAAAGATTTCTTTGATCAAAAAGTGAAGATAAATTTTCTCTTTTGTCTTTTGGAGCAGACTTCTTGATCTATGGTTTGATGCAAAACTAGTTTATATTTATCACCTATTTTGAAAACAGGCTATCGATTGATAGAAATAGTGCTGAGTAGAGAGATAGTCTCATTATACTAATGGTCACTCGTATAACTTTTTTGATACACTAAAAAGTGAAGTTTCTAAAGAAATTTATTCGTGCTGCGATAAAAATATCCCTCTCTTATACATGAAGTATCTAAACCTAGAAACTAAACATTTCTTTCTATTCTTGCCAAGTGTGACCGGAATGCAGATAATAAAATTTTATGCCTTCCTTTAAATAGTTTTTGGTCAATCGCGTACAGACGCAGTTTCCTGTAAAGTCACATTCAGACATATGTAAACAGTTTTTATTACCTGTGTACAAACGCGGTTTCATAAAAAAACGCGTTGAGCTGCGGCTCAGAATTTAATCTGACCGCGTCTTGACGGGCTCTAACTCAAACCGCATCCAGTCGCGTTTGAATATTTTTTTATTAAACACGTTTTCATGCAGTCTCATAAAAAATCGCGTCTAGACGCGGATAGAGACCGATTGTAACTGCGTCCGACGCGATTTCATTTATACTCGCGTCAAGATGCGTTTGAAAATTTTGTTCAGATGCGTATAGACGCGGTTGTAAATGAAAACGCGTTCAAACGCGGTGAAAATCGATTGTAACCGCGTCTGAACGCGTTTTCATTTATAATCGCGTCGAGATGCGTTCAGAAATTTTCTTCAGCTGCGTCTAGACGCGCTTCTGAATGAAAATGCGTTCAGGCGCAGTGAAAATCGATTTTCACCGCGTCTGAACGCGGTTTACAACAAAACCGCGATTACACGCGTATATTTTGCGTCTGGTGTTTACATGGGTCATCTATTGTTGCATCACCAAGATATGAAAATAATTTGTCTTCATTGGATACAGGATTATCCTTGAATTCTTCTAATTTACACAATTCCATATTATTTTTCTCTAAAATCTAAAATAAAGCATAACTGAATATAAGTTTACGTTTTATAGTGCACATATACTGTTTCATATGGAGACAACATCGGTTGGTCAAAATACACGTCGTTGTTTTTTGAGTTTATTATAAAATGGGAATCCAAATTCACCACGGCATTTGATTCGATTGTTCAGCTCAGCTCGTTTTGATTCTTTACAGGACTTATCTACAATTCAGAAATTAACATAGTGTATTGATAGATTGATACTAATCATCAATCACACTTCCATCTCGTTCATACTTGTTAAAATATTGTCGCCTACTGGCTCTCTCTGAAGATTTGCAGCATCTAAGTCAGTCATATGGATGATCTGTAATGGAGAAGCATAGAAATATACACAAGTTTCAATAATATACAAGCGTGCAAAATCACTTTCATTTGTTGCAATTGTAGAGAAAATATCTACGGTGGTAGTGATATCAGCTAAAGTACTTTTACAATGTGCTAACAGGAGCCTCTTGGTTAATGCTACTAGAACAAAATATTTAGTTAATACTTATTATGCTTAGAAACTTACATTGGTAGTGTATCCACTTGAATATCATCCACATTTTTGAGCATATTGGATGCGTGTCTTTTAAAACAAAATGGGATATATTTAAATCTATTATATTCATCTCAAATGATGATTCATGACATACTTTCGAACTTCATCAGCCAAAAGCCACATGTTTTGATTGACAAACATGAGTTAACCATTTATTTTTTTCGTTGTCTTTTAGGTTTAAATTCATACATAATACACTCCATACCGTTGGAGAATTATCCAATCATTTTTTTGACCATGGTGTGGTATCTAGTATGTCGATTTGGGATTTTGTCAACTTCTTGGAAGCTTCAACTAATTTTTCTGCTCCAATAGATCATTTTGGTGGTCTATCACGTTCGCTATTCAGATACAATGTCTGCAAATCTGAATAATCTACTAAGTTTCTTCCGAGAATCGATACTCGTTTTTTATTTAATGCACTAATATTTGCATTGATTCTGATGCTATAACATTTTAATGCTAATTTTAGACGCTCCAATAATTGTTTCACCTGTTGGAATAGTTTCAAAAGGCTGTTGTACTGGATTATTTTGTGAATTATCAATACTGAGTGTATTAAAACTTAATTAAATTTTTTTTAAAGTAAAATTAAAACTTACCTTCTTTTATTTTTATTTGATGATTCGAATCTTTACCTGTTTCATTATAAAAATCGTATAGCTCTAAAACATCTTTTTCAATCTAAAAACTTACACAATAAATGACAAATGTCATCAACATTTGAATCCGATGCATAGTTCAATGTCATTTTTGCTGTTGTCGGTTCATCAATGCATCCTCGTTGAAGAATAGGGGAAGATGGAACATAAGGTTGCTTGATTGGTCCTGTTGTTGATAGAGCCTGTTCTGAAAAACTGATTTGATTGTTACTGATTGTTAATGCAGAAGCTATTATTTCAATTTCAGAAAACTGATTCGCTGCAATATATTAACATACAACTAATCATAAAAATATTCATTGAAACTATTCACTATTCAGTCTGATCATGTACACGCTTTCGTTTCATATAGAATTTGTTAAAAAAAATTGAACTTTAGAACCACTTGTGTATATAAAAGCAATTTAGTTTTTATTATAGAGGATGAGGAATCATCAATAAAGGATGTTTGCTTTTCAGCCCTAAATGATGAATACTGTTCAGATTTACTTAACTTTTTTTATTTTTTCTCATATCTTCATTGTTGGTAAAATCTCAAGAACAATTATACACATCAAAAGAAAAGTAAAACTGAAAGATGCTTCTTTCATATAAATAAAAAACAAAAAAGATAAACAAGAGAGAAAAAGCCAGAAAGAAAAAGATGAATACAGCGAGACTAATATGAAGATGAACCATAGCAGAAAAAAATAATATGATATATTGGTATCAACACGAAGCCTACTAAGTACCCGATTACAATACAGTTCATTAGATATAAGAGCAGAGTGTTTATCAGAATTTATTTTGTATAAATGTTAGATATAAGTGTAGAAGATAACACTTTGAGTATTTGTCATTGAAAAAGAAAGGAAAAAGTTTTCACTTGGATGAGACGCAACCAATAAAAAATTGATGATTGCTTCACGGTATTTTTCCCTCCATCTGATTATAAAAAAGAAAAACAAAAGAAACATGGTATGCATCATAGCGTACAGTTCTGTTTATTTGCACACATGGACCACTATTTGTTTTTGGATTGTTATTCTTCCTATATGTTTCAAATTGTATATAAGTATCTGAATTTATCGAAGACTTATATTTCTATCATTCAATTTTGCAAAAGAAATAAAAATAATTCTAAGAATATTTTCTATTCAAAATAAAAATAAAACATTCTTAACTTTAGATATTTTTTTCCATATTGATATCATAGTCTTGTCTACTTACTCATTTCATTAATATACAAGTAAACGGTAATTCTTAACCGAAAATTTAATAGTTTTGCTTTTCTTTGTGCAAGCTATGATTCATATACCTTGGAAATTATTCCATCAAAACTGTCATCGATTTCATTTGGAATGGATGACAGAGTCGATCGATTATCAAGAAAAACAACAGTATTAATGGTGCTTCTCGGTAGAATATAAATTAAAATTTTAATTTTAAATTAGTCTTAATATTTCTTTCAGGTGCACTAATAATTGCCTCAAATAGATACTATGGAGCATCAATATCTTGCGCAACAACTGAATTGGCTAACGAAATATCTCAACATTGGATTGACACCCTTTGTTTGATAACCGATAAAAAATTTGCACCCATTCAAATTGTTGGAAATAATCATATGAAAATTTCCACGTCAGTTTTTAAATATGTTTTAAAACTATTGATGTTAGAATATTTCTGGAAGCTACTACCGGTTCACAGTGGAGCCTTTGATTTTAGTTGCAATGGTTTTGTCTTTATCTAACTATATTTGGAATACTGTTCTTGGTCATTCTGGATATAAATTAAAAAGAATTGTTGTATTAATATCAGCGGCAAAACAAACAACTGAACACCAACGAACAGCAAATTTAGAAGAATTAAGAAAACATCTTGAAAAAAGTCGCCGATAACATCGTCTCCACTGGACTTTCGACGAAGATCTTCGTCGTCGATTGTTTCGTCTCAAGTAAGCCTTCATCATGTCCATGATAATCAACTTGACTTGACTCGAAAATTTTTTTTTCGAGCAATGACTTGACTTGACTTGACTTGAGTGAAAAAATAGCTGACTTACCCATCTCTGAAATCAACAAAGTATGTTCTTTAAAGTATATTATAACTTTGCACAGCGGGATGTTCCTTCAATCAATTAATTACGTTTATCTGTCATACAGGAACATATCCAGTTTCGAATAAATATAGAATGTTTAAGCATATTGACGGATAGCAATATAAGAAAAAAGACAGTCAAAAGAGAATTTTTCATTTTCACCCTACTGCGTACAAGGTTGTTAGCATGATCAAGGCAGTACTAAGATGCAAAATAATTTATAGCTGGATCAGTACAGAATTTCTCAGAATATTTAGGTTTGATTTCAAATAAAAATAAGTTTGGCTTTCATGAAAGTTATAAAACTAATATTAAAAATATTTCTTCTTGCCACAATTGTAGACCATCCACTTGGTTTTATAAATGTCATCGAAATTGTTGGTATCAAAACCGATACTTTATTTCAATTTTTTACATATTAATTAAAATTATTTATGTAAAAGTGATTGTGGTTGTATTTGTCTTACTTGAATATTGTCTTGGATTCAAATATATTAATATTGGTTTACCAATTCTTAATCAAATAATATCTCAAAATAGTCAGTCATGCATTTGTCTCATGATTTAATTCTTTTGAATTCTTTTTACCCTCAACACTTATAAATGATAGACTTTTTCCGCAAAGAACATGGTGTCTTATTTCTCGATTTAAATTAGGTAATAAATTTTTGAAAAAGTGGCCTCTATGATAAAATTAGGTGAAAAATTTGCAGTTTCAGTAATTTATTAAAATATTTTCTGTTTTATTTTACAATGACTTGTTTTGTTAAAAAAGTTTCAACTAACTTATCAAGCCATATTTTTTAGTTTTCGAATAATAAATCCAATGCTTTCTGCAAAAACATTCTCTAGTCTTTGAAAAAGCAAGAACTGAGTGTTAACATTGTCCATCACAAAGTCGATATTTTCTTGGTCATCATCTTCCAGTTCACGGTTTATATGAGATGCAACACAATGGGGCTGTACACGATTTTATTCGAAAATGTTCACCAGATTTGATACGTATGCTAGGATTATATGAAGTCGAACTGGACAATACATTAACAGGTGAAATATAATCGGTCAAATTTTTATTACGTTCAGAACAAATTATGTTCCGACAGAATATTCACTCGAAACAGAACTCCAATAATTCCGTCATTTGTGTTTTGTTTGTGATTCTAACTAGAATTGTTAAAAAAACATTGTTTTTTTTATTGTTACTATATCTACATATTTTTAATCACTTTTGTTTTTATGTTCTTCATTCATAATAAAAATGCATGTCATTTGCATATAATTAAGGAAGAATGCTAATCATCATTTAATTCAAAAAAATTTAAGTGAAAAACATAATTCAAATATATCATCACTAAGGTGACCATTTCCAAAATTTATTTATTTTATACTCCTCCTCCTCAATGGTGTTTTGCGAATATTACGATATCTATTGGTTAAAGAATCATCCAATAGAATCATTATTTTCGTTAAGCTGAATGATCGAGTTGAGCTAGCTTCTACGACGTATCCATTTCATTCAAGAATTATTTAAATTTAGTAATTTTATTATTTCAACAAGAATAGTTAATAAATAACAAAAAATACACATCTTTGAGATACATAAAAAAAAAATGATGTGAACAATAAGATAATCACAAAAAGAAAGATCGTAAGATAGGAAGGACGATGAAGATAACAAAAATTTTACTATAAATACAAGACATAAATAGAGGGAAAAAAATTAAGAATAAAGACATGACACATACACCACAAGCAAATATTTTTGATTTATCGAAAATAATTAATTATTGGGCTGTTGAATCAATTGTCTCATTCTGAAATAGAACAGAACAAGTAATGATATAATAAAACTTATACGGAAGACCTACTCTTTTTTTTTATCTCGACTGCAAAGTGAACGCCTTTGACAACCAATTGTTTTCTTCGCTTGTCATTCCCAGAAAACTTTGAATTCGATCAAATGCTCCTTGAAATATGTTTCTGTAATTAATTCTAGAAATAATAAAATAAAAGTTTAACTTTCTGTAATAATATTTTGCTGTTCATACCTTTTATTTTTTCCATACAATCATCAAATACAATGCCATTTTTTACTTCTTCATTAGTATAAAGCTTACGAATTGACGAGCAGAGAAGGGCAGTTAGTTCAATAGCAGGTTCTGAATCAAGTAAATTAATTCCATTATAAAACTAAAAATATAGGAAATTGAAGATGTGAAAATTTATATCACAAGTATACTATTAGTGGAATATTAGCAGGAGGAGTTATTACTATATTCTTTCATAAAATAATAAACAAATAATAAAACAAAAGCTATTCTTTAAAAAAGCTCACTACCTTTTGATGACTTAATATTGTTAATTGTGCTTCATATATTTTATCTAATACTTTCATCATTGAATTTTGTTGAGTTCGTAATTCTTCTACATTATTTTCTAATAATTGGAGTCGAAGATTTATTTTATCAATAGCACAACGAATATCAGTATGTGTTTGATACATCTTCTTCAACTGAACATTTTCGTTTCTTTTGTGAACAATTAACTACAAAAGAACCTATAATGTAAAATATATTGATATTCGATAATTTGTCAAGTTTCAGATTACTTTTAAGAACAGCTGCAGGTGTTGGTGTTGAGGGCTGTGTAAATGTTTGTGCAGGTGGTTGACGACGATGTGGTTGTGGTATATAATAATGAACAGCAAAAGATAAAGCAATACATAAGAGGAAAACATGTAGTTGTGTTGCTTTCCATTTGCCAGTAGATTCTATATCAACAGGATGTCGTTTTATGGTGTGAGGATATTTGATGCTAAGTAAAAACCGATTCATTTGCATATGTACTGGTTTAGGAAAAATTGTTTTCCATTGATTTAGTAAGAATACTAGATGAATTTTCAAAGTTAGGTGAAAATAATCTAGGATCGATTGAGCAGGAATTGAAATAAGTGGTGATAGTGGTGATCGTCCATAGACTCCGCAAATTTTAAAATTTTTTGTTTTTGAACTTTCTATTTCTGCAACACAATGGCTCAGGTATTGTTGAGTGCGTTGTGGTGGACAGGTTTCTGTATAATTTTTATGAGGATACAATACGTGTTTGTGTTTTGTACGAGAAACTCCAGTGAATAAGCAATATATGTATGCGAAATAGCCATTGTGTGCTGTAATTTTATTACATTTTGCGTGTGCAGGAAGATCATCACCAATAATCAAAACATCAACTTCGAATCGTGTCAAACCTTAACAGAAAAAGTTCCAAGAAAACTAGATGAGGACAATAAAAACAGAAAAGAAGATTTGCTGAACACTTTAGACTCATAAAACTCTTGTCATACTTATTCTCTATTTTTTTTTAAATTAAAACCTCAATAACCTTCACCACCAATGTCAATTAATAAACCACCATTTTGTAAAACCATAAGATTATGAACAATACATGATAATAAACGATCAGGATCTGGTGTAATCGTCGAATGTCATAAACCAAACAACATCATATTTTTATCATATTCACTCACAGGATGAGGTATCTCTGCCAGAGCAGCCACTACCTACAAAAAAGCATAATTAAAAAAACAGAAATGAAATAAAACAGAAATTATAATTACACAATAGCTGTCAAATTCAGAAAAGAATACTGTTACTCACAAGCCAAGTAGAGGAATTAGTTGATATAGTTAATGGTTTATCATCTGTTGATAACATTGAACGTAAACGATTTTTCGAGGATTTAGTTCGATAAAAATTCCCTGTATGAATATAAATCAAAAAATAGTTTGCTAATACTATATTAGAGAAGATTATAATTACCAAATAAAATGTCACATGGCGGACCATTTTCAAGATTTTCTTGATACCATTTTATAAGATGATAGTTTTTAATATTAATTGAACGGATTTTATCGGCAACATCAAATAATATTAATTCTGAATTAATTTTGTGCATTTGATTTTGACATTCATGATTGGAACATCTTTGTTTGATATGTTGTAATTTTTTAAAACATGATGAACAATAGATTATTGTTTTATATGAAAATTTCACATTTAAATCATTCCAAAATTTATCACAATTATTTGGAATTTCTCTGAAAAAAAAGGAAAAAATAATTTAGTAACAAAATAATACAAACACAGTTGATGTATTTGAGTTGAACAAAATGTACTATTTAGCATCTTACATAGCGGATATTCCTCGAATAAGATTAAGTAAAGCATTTCTATTTGTTTTATTCATATTCGCATGTCGAATAAACAGAGCTATTTTCATTTTCAGTTGAGTTTCAGGTGAATATCTAGATAATTGATAAACTTTCTCATGTGTATCTGGATCATCCATCCGCATCATCTGAATTTCATTGTCGAAATCTATCACAAAAAAGACGAATAATTTTCAATCTATCTTATAATACCTAACTTTAGCTTTTAATTATCTCCATCAACATCTCAAGATAACAGCAAATATTACCTTCATCAATAACAACATCATCATCTTCAATAAATGTTTCACCTTCTTGCACATTTATTAAATTTAAATTCTTTTGTTGACTATCAGGTTTCAATGAATCAAATTGTTATTGATGCACTGACGAAAATGAACTATAAAGACCACGGCGATACTTTCCTTTGTCTTTGTTTGATTTGTTGACGTTCTAAAGAAAGAAGAATAGAGATATCTCGATAATCAACTTCTTTAAATACTCACAACGAACTAATTGTTGTTCATATCGACATTTACATTGGATACCAAATAGATTTCTCTCCATTTGATAATTTGATGTAAAAAAATAAGCACAAAAAATCTAGGCTTAGTCATAATCAAAAATACTTATCGATACATAAATCAACACTTACTTATTTTAACACAGTATGAACAATTACTATAACAGACAGGTCTTTGTAATAATAAAAACAAACAAATGACCCTGCATGATACCATATGGTATCAGCCTTTGTAAGAAGCCACTGGTATTCTCTATTCCTCTTTCTCCTCCTAAAAGATGTCACGATCTCTGTCGTATGCGTGATGAATCACAAAGAAACACGCTCACTACACTTAGCGCATATGATGCTACATGCCACCACATGTATGAAGCATGATAAGTGTCATGTAATACGTATATAGACCGTACACATTGACTAGGGAATACAAAGAAAGATGTCGTTACATCAAATCTATGGTTTTAGTTCGGTTTCACGATTATATTTGATCAGAAGAATTTAACATCATAAATAGTCTCTATCAATGATATATATTTCATATGCTGCACATATGAGCATTTCAAAATGAGTTTTAACTTAAGTGCATTACTGGATCTTTCATTGAACATTGATTTGATGACTCATGAAAATGTGATCATAGACTATTGAATTATAAACAAGGTCAATCTTTTCATCTTGACTCTATTTTAAAATAATTTTTATTGAATGAAAGAATTATAAATATTCAATCGAAAATTAAATTATCATATTCGAATTAAACAAATTTATAATATATCTCAAAAACGACGTACAATTTTCCTTCTTCTCTTTTCAGTTTTAAATGATCTGATGAAAAACAATTGCATATAGCAATTCAAACGAATACTGTAGTAAAATTATTTTATTCGTTTTTCTTCTTTCACTTGTCTTTTTCTTATCTAAAATCTTTGTAAAATTATCTTTCTTCTATTAATCAAACGATCGATTCTCGATCGTAATATGAGTGAATGGACGGGGTGCGGGTGTGGGTGTGGGTGTATCTCTTCTTCTACCTCATGCCCACACCCACGCCCTCAAGCAATTGTTGATTGCATTATTGACAATGCGCTTCTTTTTACCATGTTCATGAAACCAGGCATGGTCAATGTTCTCAAAACATTCGATTCTCGATATTAACACCCAATCGATATAGCATTACTTCGCGCGTGGGTGATGCTTATTACAAATATGTCGATCAAGTGAAGGTGGGTTGCTGACAGGAAAGAAAACAATATCTTATATCAACAATTTATGAGCCAAGTTTCTGTGTTTCTCGTATGCTAATAACACAAGAAATGAGTATTTCTAACTGGTATAAGTTCATTAGGGCGAAGAATTCACGTTGACTTGCCTATTCTTCTGTTTGATTAGACTTGTGCGGTTCGACGCTCACATTCGATGTGAATGCAGTTCGAAGATAATGAAGAAAGAGTAGAAAGTCCATCATACTCAATTAAAGTAGTGTTTTTCACGCAGGCATCTTCCGAAGGATAATGCGAACGTTGTATAAGAAACTCGAAGAACATCGAGATAATCTTTTTTTAGTCTATGCCAATAATTTCAGAAACAATGCAGGAATCTCATTTATCTTTTCTTCAAGGTGTCCTCAAATGTGTCCCAGCCGGCGCCTTTACTGCTGATATTTGGAAGAGTGGCACCCGCAAATAGTACATTTCATTGACTGCACATATTTTCGATGAAGATTTTGAACCCATGCCACTTGTGCTATCTCTGAGACAACTAACTGAACGTCATCTCGCCGTCAATGTTCAATCATTTCTCAAATTTGAGCTTGATCAGAAGTTTCAAATTATGCCCAAACAAAGAGCTGGAATTACGACCGACTGTGGAGGCGAGATGGTTGCGGCCACATCGAACGGTTTATTTGGTCCTCGATACGCTTGTATCGCCCACGTGTGGAACAATATCGTCAAAAATGGATTTTGTTTATGGTCACCATCGAACGCTGACAAGTACGCTATTTCTTTCGTGTGTAAGAGACAAAGAGTCAACATTTTTGACTCATAATCTATGTCAATCAAAGAAGTAAGCAAGTCCAACAGAAAATATTCCTATGTTGATCGAGAAACGACATTTGAACTTTTCTTTACAAATTATCGAAAGAAGAGATCTCAAGGCTCAATGAGAAGATTCATTTCTCAGTTCACGACGAGTGTCAGCTGGAAAACTTCGGAAACTACTTTAGATTGGTGAGGGGATCGGTATTTATGATACTCTCGAGTCGGATACTATGCATTTTGTTTCGTCGATTCGTGTTGTCTCAGCAATTGAACGAAATATAACATTCATTATTAAAACCTGTATTCCACAGGCGAACTTAGCCGATTATATTCAAAGTAAAATACGAATGACTGCTTATGTTAACCTTATTCATGACCACCGTGAGTTCTCATGGCTCACGGTCGTGACCGAAAATCCTTGGTCACGACGATTCCGAATTGCATTAGATGTGAATGATTAGTTGACAAGTTAAACGGTCGCCGTAAATCAAATTCGAGAATATATTACCAAAGCGAACGATGATATCGATGGATAAAATGCAGCTATTCAAAAATATTCTTCTTAGTGTAGATCTATTCCTGATTACCAATCTTTATTTTTCATCTCTGCTGATTTCAATCCTTTCGTATTCTTGGGTTTTTAGATATGAGAAATAAATTTTAAAAAAAACGGCGAGGGAGAGAGAAGAAAAAAATGAAATAACAATGGCAAGTGATGTGAGTAGAATTGTCCTGTGGTGTGTGACTCTATTATTGAAGTACCAATGCAACCTAAACGAAAAAACATAAATCAGTATGTGAACATTGAAAACGTAAAACAAACTTTTTCGGCAGGTATCAGTGGACATTTCCAATTGTGGATGTAATATTGAATATTACCATCACCGACACCAAATTTAAGTTTTTCTAAAAATTCCTTATTATCCATTATATCGAGCGCATTGAACACATCGAAATCACTCTTGAAAAAAAATCATTATGAAAATGAAAAAAAACGTTCGTTTTACTCCTTACATTGTGTGCTTGCACAAGACAATCATTGACGAGATCGGTCAGTGGTGTTCGACTGGCAGCATAATAATACATGTAGCATGAATTCAATATCTTGTATTGTGGATGATTTAGAATTATCGATGGTAAATAATAGTAAGATATGAAATCGGTTATTTAACCTTGATCATTCTATCGAGAGGAAAAATCCAATCATATAGTGAAAAGAAAAAAAAAATAATGATGAGAGTTTTTTTGTTACTTCAACAACAAATGCGCTCACGATGGTCGGCCGACTTTTACACAAATATTCAAATTCATCAAGAGAAAATACCGGCGCCAAGTCGAATTTTGTCAGATACTAATTGAGGAATGACATAGGACAAAAAAAACCAACGTAAGAGAAAAGCGACGTTTTTGAGTGAGTAATCTCCAAGCTTGAGGTATATCAGCATCACGCATCTCGCGAAAGCCTGCCACTTGTGTCGTCTATTTGAAGAAAAAAACATCGGAAAATTGACTTAGAAAACAATACACATTAGAGTTTCGTCTGTGATCTATAAATCTTTCTTGAGAATCACACAAATCGACTGTTCGATTCGTCTTTAAAATTCATCGATATATGCGTATCAGACGCTAAATTACATTGACAGGTGACATTTGATGTATGCAGATGTAGTTTTTTGTGGATGGTGTTTAAAAACTACATGAATGGCTTAACTTCGACAGAATCAACGGAATCGATTGAAAAGTATTTCAAGCCGAATGATTATACTACCGATTCCGAGCACTGTTCGAATGATACTATTTATTTTAAAGTAAAATCGACTGAGCTCAAGATCAATTTGCTCTGCTGTCAATGTACGTATCATTCACAATTATCGAAGTTTTGTCCATCTCTGAAAGAGAAAACATGTCGAAACTGAAAAAGTCTAAAACGGTTAATGTTGAAAAGGATATATCGCACATGAAAATTTTGTATTTGGAAACGATACTTATTGTTAAGAAACAAAAATAAGTATCTCTCTTCGGCATTCTCCACTATTCCTTCACATCGGAGTGGTTCGTGGTCAGACAGACAGCATTTTAGAAGCGTAATCATGGCAACTGCTCTTAGTCAATATTCGAATGAATCA